TAAAGGTTGAGGGAAAACATTTCAAGATTGATATTGTCCACACATCTTAATAATATGATGACATGTTTGCATTCTCATAATAGAAAGTATATATATGTGTAGATACATTCTTGTCAAGTATGTATTCAACAGAAGTATGAAAACCATCTAAGTACTACACTCATTAACATGCAAACGGTAGACTATATCATGAGGAATTAGTCTGAATTGTGAAACAATTGAAATACCAAACCCTACAGTAAAGGAAACTTTGTTGCAACAGACCTAACAGCTTGCTTCATGCTCAGAGTTGTCTTTCACCTCAGAAGTCTGCTCAGATTCTTCAGACACGGTTGCTTCTGAGCTGCTACTCTTCTACAATAGAGAAGTAGAGGATAATTTAAAAAGCCATTAGCGGAAAATCATAGCAAAAAGTAATGTAATAATGATGTGAAATAAGGAAAATATCAAAAGTGATCAATTTCAAAGAGAATTACAGAGACATTTTTCTTGAACTCTTGCATAGCTTTCTCATACTCAGACTTCAGAGGTGATGCCTTTGCCACATATGGAGCTTTCTCCTAACAGTAGAGTCCATATAGCAAACGTGTGACAGATGTATCGAGCAATTTAATTCAAATTTAAATACACAAACTTAATAATAACTCTAAAGCAGAAGATCAGAGCTCACAGAGTCAGACATTGCCTTCCATTTCTCACCACCAGCTTTCCCAACCTTAAATGAAATTAAACAGGAAATAATCTATCAATTGAAGCTTTGGTTCAATTTTAATATACAAAAACACAATAGTGATAATGCTTAAAATAATAATAACATTATGATCGTATCATCCAAACAACTATGCAATTAGTATTAAGAATAACTTAAATGCAATGCTTTAAGAAATCTCACAATGGCCATAGATTTGTTATCAGGAAAATTCTCCTTGTAATTCTTGCGGAAATCACTCTTGTATACCATAAAATCATTGCAATAGTAGAAACAAAATCAAGCAAATAGAAGAAAAAAAAAAACCTAAATATACATACGAGAAAACGAGGAAAATAGAGTGAAAATATTGAAGAACTATTAACAATATGAAATAACATAACAATATACATGAACACTATGCAGAGGCGAATGGTTAATTATTTATAGGCAAGAGGAAATCAATAAATTAAAATTTCTCACAAACTCACATCGGAGCCGGCGGCTGTGGCGTCGTCACAGGGAGGCCGCCATCGTCGCAGGGCAAGGGAGGGGTTCAGATCAACGGCGTGGCAGCGGCTGTGGCGTCGGCGTCGCGGTGGTGGCTGTGGCTTTGTCGCGGTGGCTGTGAACGGTGGTGGGTGTGACGTGAAGCCGGTGGTAGTTGTGCGATGGGTGCGAAGCCGGTGGTATGTTCAATTTTGTACTAGTGTTTTAGAAGCAATTAGACTTGGGCGCCTAAAAATAAGGTTTTGGTGGGAATGAGATTTGAGTGAAATAATTTTCAGATAATGATGATGGTAACAATATCTTTCATGTCAATAGTCAGAGTATACTTTTAAAATAAATATATAATTAAAATTTTGTCACTAAATCATAAACTTTTAATTAGAGTAATTTTTTACTTTCACAAAAATTATACAAATAATACATTTAGTGAGGGGTTTTTCTACCCATCACTAAATTTTTGTCACTAAAAATTGTTTTTTTTTTTTTTTGTAGTGTAAATATTCAAAATTTTTATATTGTAGATTCATAATTTCTATACTAAAGTTTTGTGATTTGTGAATACAGAGTTCAACATTTGGTAATATGAATATCGAAAATTATGAACATAGAGTTCTGTAATTGTGAATATATATAGAGTTCAATCATTATGAATATGAATTTCAAAAATTATGAATATATAGTTCGGTAATTATGAACATAGAACAGTGTGCACCATGGTGCACACAGTTGCACATCATAATTTGTCCTTTATTACCCAGACAGATGGCGGCCCAATTATTACAAAGATCGCGGCAAAAGAAATGGGCTATAACTAACTGTACAATATCAACTACTCTTTCATATCCATTCTCCACGTGTCCCATGCATGCCGGAATGGTTGATTACCAACATATAGCTAACCTTGTTAGTCATGCGCTAGCCGAAAGGATCGATTACCAACCTAGGCCCCTATCATACCGCCCTTACGCCGATCCACACCATACCGCACCATTCGGAACACCACACCGCACCGCCGGGGCCGTACTAGGCCATGTCGGACCGGCGCGACCGCACAGGGCCCCCAATTTTTTTAAAAAAATATTATAGATATAATCTATTATTTTTTATACTTGATAATTATTATTATTATTATTATTTGAATTCATAGATTGGTCTTAATTGTAATTGAAAATAAAACTTTAATTAATTAAAATTGAAATTTTGGTGAATAATTTTATATTTAAATATGAACGAAAATATAATTATTAAATTAACTTTTGAATTGTATTCTTTCTTTGTTCAAATGCCCGGAGGTCAAAGCTGCCAGCCCAAAATTATAAGTAAAAGATAAGGTGTAACACTTTAGTAAACAAAGGTTGGTGTGGTTTGGTGGGTTTAGTTTTGTTTGTTATGTTAGAGGTTTTGGGTTCTATCCTTCCTGGTAGCATCTTTAACCTATTTTATACAATCATTGTCTTTGTTCTCAGAGACAACACAGAAGCAAACTGGTTATATCCTAGATGTTACGCTTAAATATATAAGTGTTGGTGTAGCTTGATGGGTTTAGAGTTTATTATGTTAGAGGTCTCAGGTTCTATTTTTCCTGCGGGCATCCTAACACAGAAGCAACCCAGTTATATACCAGATGTTGCACATTCATACATAAGATGTTAACATCTTTTTTTATATTTTAAAGACAACGGTTAAATAAAACCGTTGTCTTAAACAAATAAAGAACGCGCAACGACAACGGTTTTAAAAAACCGTTGTCTTTGTAGTGTTGTGTATTCTAGTGCGCTTAAAGACAACACACCAACAACAACGGTAAAAAAACCGTTGTCCTTTAAATAAAAAAGAGCGTGCAAAGACAACGGTTTTTAAAAACCGTTGTCTTTGTAGTGTTGTGTATTCGAGTACACTTAAAGACAACACACCAATGACAATGGTTAAATAAAACCGTTGTCTTTTTTAAAAAAAGAGCGCACAAAGACAACGGTTTTAAAAAACCGTTGTCTTTCTAGTGTTGTGTATTCCAGTGCGCTTAAAGACAACACACCAACGACAACGGTTAAAAAAACCGTTGTCTTTTAAAAAAAAAAAAACGCACATAGACAACGGTTTAAAAAACCGTTGTCGTTGTGGTGTTGTCTTTTCACAAAATGCACAAAGACAACACACTTACAACAACGGTTAAGTAAAAACCGTTGTCTTTGACAAAAGTGTTGCATCAAAGACAACGGTTTTGGACCAAACTGTTGTCTTTTATACAAAAGACAACACTTTTCTTAAAAACTGTTGTCTTTCTAGTGTTGTCTATGTGCATTTTTCTTGTAGTGATTTAAAGAAATGACGTCGTTTTGACTGCGATGCACGTGCACCGCAGCCCACGATATAACGACCCCACGAAGAATCTGAATCCACTTTTACTTAACAAAAATTGAAACTGAATTCTACATATATTTTCTCCAGATTTCTCCATTCCTAGACCAGGCCCACTATTCGGCCCATTTTCCCCAATCATTATTGTATGGACCATGGTTCACACAATTTGTGTGGACCATATTTTGTCTAGTGTAAAATAATGTACATTCAATTCAAAAATAATGTACATTGTATTCAGGGGATGTACATTATTTTTGTTCTGAGTGTACATTATATTGTATAATGTATATTCAGTACAAAATTAATTGTACATTTAGTATATTAAAAATGTACTTTTTGTTATGATCCACATAACATTGTGTGGATCATGGTCCACACAATAATTTGCCCATTTTCCCTCTTCCTTTCGACTGATCAGTCCCAACCTCATGAGCCTCATTATCCAACCCATTAAGCCCTTTCTGTGGGCCCACCTTTAAGAGCACGGATAGTTATACCATGGATACGAATCCACGTTGCAAGACAGACCCGCGTTAAAATAAATAATTTATATACTGAATGTTCTAAAAAAAAGTATGCAAAATTACTAAAGGATTAAATAAAGCATTAGTTGGTTAACTAATTACTAGCAGAGACGGAGCCAAAGATGGGGCCAGCTGCCCCCCTTCATCCTACCCCAACCTCATATATAATATTTGTATGTATATATGTGTATATAGTACATGTTTTAGTATTAATATAAAAAAAAAACTATTATATGTTAAAACAAGAAATAAGTTAGATTAGTTGGTAGAATACATGTTTGGTAATAGTAAAGGTCAAGGGTTTGAATAGCATGTTTGGTATTTTTAGTTTTACAGTTTTCTTTGACTCCTTCAACACAGTCACGTTTTTAATAATTTTTTAATATATATATATATATATATATATATATATATATATATATATATATATATATATATATATATGTGTGTGTGTGTGTGTGTGTGTGTGTGTGTGTGTGTGTGTGTGTGTGTGTGTGTGTGTGTGTGTGTGTGTGTGAGAGAGAGAGATGTATAATTTATAATGTGTTTTATATTCAAAGTATTTTATCAAATTAATTATGTTTTTCATATTTTGTTATGAATATTTTTATAAAGTATCGATGTGTTTTATTTTTCGTCCATATCCAACAATATTTACAACTGTATTTCTTAAATTTTTTTTAATTATCTATTTTGTTTTAATGTTTCCCTTTACTGAAATTTTTTTTCGCCCCAGGATATCCTAAGCATCGGTGAAATCCATCTAAATTCTAGGGTTCAGGCTTTCTAGCACGATTCAGTACATGTACATATTGATTCGTATGCGAATGGCGCAGGTTTTGAGGTAAGTGACGAAGAGAAGGAAGTGAAGTTTCAGAGGAGATGGCAGAGGAGGGATCGGAGAGGGAGAATGCGTTGATGGATTCGATCGAGGCGCGTTGGGTGTTTCTATTGCGATTGGCAGTGAAGGGTGAAGAAGAAGAAATAACACTGTTTCATTAGATTGTCCTCAGATACAGGGAAGAGCTATTTATGAGAGGAAAAGGGAATCAAGGGAAAGCAACTGATTCTAACTAACTTCCTAACAGATTACAACAGAAAGATTAAGGCTAGTTACAACAGATTTTGGCTAGCTTTTTAGAGTGTTGTTTGCATGTGTTGACACCCCCCCGCAAGCTGGAATATACATGCTATGGAGATCCAGCTTGGAGATGAAGTTGTTGAATGTAGTTTGAGCATGTGGCTTTGTAAAGACATCTGCTAGTTGATTATCAGTTGAGACATGCAGTAGCCTTAGGATACCTTTCTGCAGCTTTTCCCTCACCAAGTGGCAATCAAGCTCTATGTGTTTTGTTCTCTCATGGAACACAGGATTTTCAGCTATGGCAATGGCTGACTTACTGTCACAATACAGCATGGCTGGAAAAACTTCCAAGACTCCTAGATCCTTCATGAGATAACATAACCATTGAATCTCACAAGCTGTTGTGGCTAGGGCTCTATATTCTGCTTCAGAAGAGCTTCTGCTAATAGTAGCCTGCTTCTTGGACTTCCATGAGACAAGGGATGAGCCAAGGAAGATGCAAAAGCCAGTAATGGACCTTCTTGTATCTGGACAAGCAGCCTAATCAGAGTCAGTAAAACCTTTTATTTGTAGAGTGGATTTTGCTGAGAAGAATAACCCTTGTCCAGGTGCAGCCTTGATGTATCTCAGGATCCTATGAGCAGCCTGCATATGAACATTAGTTGGACAGTCCAAAAATTGTGAAAGTTGTTGAACAGCATAACTGATGTCAGGCCTGGTGATAGTAAGGTATAGAAGCTTTCCTATCAGCCTCCTAAATTGAGTGATATCTTCCAACTGATCTCCGGAGGTTTTGCTGAGTTTGATTGAAGGAACCATAGGGGTTGAGGCTGGTTTGCATAGCAGAAAATCTGTTTCCTCAAGAAGTTCCAAGGCATACTTTCTTTGTGACATGGAAATGCCTCTACTATTCCTTGCAATCTCCAACCCCAGAAAGAACCTTAAAGGTCCTAAATCTTTAATGTGAAACACATTGTTGAGATGCTGCTTAATCTGCTCAACTTGAGGTAAATCAGGGCTTGCTATCACAACATCATCCACATAAATGAGTAAAGCTACAAAACTGTCTGCACTGCCTTTGGTGAATAAAGATGGATCAGAGATGGCTTGTTTGAAACCCATGCTGATCAGTTCTTGAGTTAGCTTTACATTCCATTGCCTGCTTGCCTGTTTCAACCCATAGAGAGATTTTACCAACTTGCAAACCTGGCCAGATTTCAAAGGAGTAAAACCAGGAGGTAGTTTCATATAAACATCTTCATTTAGATCACCATGCAAAAAAGCATTGTAGACATCTAATTGGTGAAGAGTACACCCCTTTATAGCTGCAATGGCTAACAACATCCTGATAGTGGTGATCTTGGCCACAGGACTGAATGTGTCCAAGTAATCTAAGCCAGGAGTTTGAGTATACCCCTTTGCAACAAGCCTAGCTTTGTGTCTTTCTATTGTTCCATCAGCTTTGAGCTTGGTCTTATATACCCATTTGCACCCTATAGGCTCTTTGTTGGGAGGAAAATTTGTGACTATCCAGGTGTTATTGTCTTGTAGGGCTTTGATCTTAGCCTCCATGGCCTTCTTCCAGCAATCTTCTTTAATTGCTTCATTGTAGTTCTTTGGCTCCTTAGCCTGTAAGGCATTGATGGCAAAGACTTTAAATCTTTCTATCAGATTGTCATAGGAGATAGTTTTAGAGATAGGATGTGGTGATGTCTTTTTGGCCACTGCATTTTGGCATGTATAATCCATCAAATAGGCAGGAACAGTCCTGGTTCTATTTGATCTCCTTGGTTGAGGTGCATGTGTTGATTCTGCACCATGCTGCCCATCATTGCTTGGTGGTGATGGTTGGGATTGAACTTGATCTGCTACTGATTCATCAACTTCAGAAAGATGCATATCAGTAGGGCTTTCCACATGCTCATGTAGATCAAGGCATACAGTTTCATCAGAGGGTAACACAAGATCAATAGACTGACTATCTTCAACATTGTGGAAAGGGAACTTGTTTTCATAGAAACAGGCATCCCTAGATAAGAATACCTCCCTACTTTGCAGATCAAGGAGCTTGTACCCCTTAACTCCATTAGCAAACCCCAAGAAGATGCATTTTCTAGCCCTTGGTGACATTTTGTTTCTCTGACAGCTGGGGACAACTGCAAAAGCCAAGCATCCAAGAACTTTAAGGTGTTGGTACTGGGGCATTTTGTTAAATAGGATCTGATAGGGGATCTTGTTATCCAAGGTTGCAGATGGCAGCCTGTTGATTATATACACTGCATGAAGGATGCAATCCCCCCAAAGATCCTCAGGCAGATTTGCTTGGAACCTTAGAGCTCTTGCCACTGCCAAGATGTGGCCATGCTTTCTCTCAACCACACTATTTTGTTGAGGAGTGTATACACAGGAGGTTTGGTGCACAATGCCTTTACTGAGGTAGAAATCTTCCAGGTTAAATTCTCTCCCATTATCTGATCTTATGCACTTTATACTTTTAGCAAACTGTGTGTTGATCAACTCATAGAAAGTCTGTATAATTTGCTTAACTTCACTTTTCTTCCTCATTAGGTAGACCCAGGTAGCCCTGCTGTGATCATCTACTAAGGTTAGGAAGTATTGATGACCATAAATGGTGGGGGTGTGATATGGACCCCAAATATCAACATGCACAAGGTCAAAACAGTTTGCAGAAATGGAAGAACTGGATTGAAAGGGCAACCTTCTTTGCTTTGCAAAATGACAATAGTCACAAACATCTGGTTTGTCATTACAAATCTTACTATCTAAGGTGTGTAAGTACTTGATTTTGCCCTCAGAGGGGTGCCCTAGCCTGGCATGCCAAAAACTACAGACATTAATAGCCAGATTACATTGAGTAAAAACAGGAAATGTAAGCTGATAGAGTCCCCTCCTTAGTTCAGCCATACCAATCATCTTCCCAAGGTGTTGAGCCTGTATAACACATTGATTAGAATGGAACAATATATGGCAATTTGATCTCCTTGTAAGCTCTCCTAATGAGAGTAAATTGTAGTGAAAGACAGGAACACACAGAACATTCAGCAGTATCAAGTCTGTGGAGAGCTGAGCAGTCCCTATGTGGGAAACCTGAGCTTGATTTCCATTAGGCAAGTCAACAAATATTCCCTTGACTTCTTTAGGATTTTGCAACAAATTTACATTGCACACAATGTGATGTGTGGCACCACTATCCAAAATCCATATTGACTCAGATTTTGTGAGATTGGCATTCTTACCTTCCATCCTAGTGTCAGGAATGAAGTTTGCTGCTACGGCATTAGCCTTGGCTGGTAAGATGTTGTTATTGAGAGGAGAACTGATGGCTCTTTCACTCTTCATGAATTCCAAGAATCTTCTAAAGTCATCTTCATTAACAGATGAGTTGATTTCTGATCCATTCTCTGAGCCATTGACAGTAGCTTGTGTTTGATTAACTGCCCCCCCTTTATTTCTTGATTTCCAGCCAGGGGGTAACCATGCTTCTTGTAGCATTTATCTATAGTGTGTCCAGTATAGCCACAGAAACTACACACTGGTTTTTGTTTTTGACCAGGGAAGGATCTTCTTGCATTATTGTCATATTTTGTAAAGAAAGCACTGGCCCCTGCCAAGCTATCTCCTGGAATAACCACTTCACCATCCAACTGTCTTTCTTGTTGGGGAACCATAGCAAAGGCTTCCCCTACATCAGGAAGAGGCTTCATCAACATTATCTGCCTCTTAGTGTTAGTGTAGTTCTCATTCAGTCCAATGAGAAATGCTGACAACATATCAGCTTCTAGATGTTCCCTAATCTTTTCAGATAGAGCCCTACCACACTCACAACTTGGTGAGCACTCACATGAGGGAATTGGTCTAAGAACAGACAACTCATCCCAAAGTAACTTCAAATGAGTGAAGTAATCATTAACAGATGCAGTACCTTGTTTGATCTGGTGAATCTCTGACTGAATCTCTGCAATGCGAAAAATATCTTGTTGGCTGAAACGTTTCTTCAAGTCCTTCCACATTCCTTCAGCCGTATTGATCCAGAGAACACTCCTTCCGATTGTTGGTGAAACAGCCCTGAGAATCCATGAAAGCACCATGGTGTTACATTGATCCCAGTAGAAGTACCTGGGATCTCCTCTGCTTGGAACAGCCATGGTTCCATCTACAAACACCATCTTATTCTTTGATCTCAACGCCATTTCCATGGCCCTCGCCCAGGGATGGTAGTTCGACCTCCCTTCTAACTGAGCAGTCACCAGCTGAAGAGAAGGAGTCTCACTGGGATGAAGATGCAGTGGATCAACTCGATCCTTAGGATCATAGGCAATAGGGTTTGGAGTGGGATTTGTGGAAGTTGTGGCATTCTGGCCGAGATTCGGAAAAGGATTTGCACTGGAGGAAGCCATTGTTGGTCTAACTGTGTTTATTGAAGGTGCACCCCAGGCCATGATCTTATGGCTCTGATACCATATTGCGATTGGCAGTGAAGGGTGAAGAAGAAGAAACAACACTGTTTCATTAGATTGTCCTCAGATACAGGGAAGAGCTATTTATGAGAGGAAAAGGGAATCAAGGGAAAGCAACTGATTCTAACTAACTTCCTAACAGATTACAACAGAAAGATTAAGGCTAGTTACAACAGATTTTGGCTAGCTTTTTAGAGTGTTGTTTGCATGTGTTGACAGTTTCAGGACGAGGAGGGATCGGAGATGGATAATGACGGCACTGATACCGGCGAAAGCGTCGATGATTCGCTGCAGCTGAACGGTATTGACTCCGACGACGAGGACAACGCCGAGCAGCGGCTGATTCGGACTGGTCATTGGATTGATTCTTTCGACGTCGAAGCTCTGGAAGTTCCCGGTGCTCATAAGAATTACTATGAGGTGCACTCTTAAGCATCCTTCAGCTCGTTTTGTGCTCTTCACTTACAGTGTCATTAGTTTTGGTTTTTACATGTTCACTTCACTAATCGAGATCCACTATAACAACTCGTTTGGTTCGCTGGAAAATATTTGAAGGGAAATGGAATTGAAATTTCATGGAAAATAAATTTCAAGAAAATAGATTCCATTGTTTGGTTGGTGGAAAAGAAATTACTGGGAATATGAGTTCCATTGTTTGGTTGAGTTTGGAATGGTAAAGAATAATGATTACAATGACAAATATAACCCTATACAATAATAATAATATAATAATAATAATGAGAGTAATTAATAAAGAATGATGAGGGTAAAATTGTCATATTAGTTTTTCATGGAAAACCTTTTCCATGGAAAACAAAATACCTAGTATGAGCTAGGAATTTGTTTTCCTCATTCTCAAGAAAAATTTTCCATCCAACCAAACAACATAAAACATCATTTTCCTTCACCTTTAGGAAAATGTTTTCCATCCAATCAAACACCCCCTAAAAGACTTTCGATTTGTGGATTTGTAGCTTCTCTACCATACCTTCAATTGAGCAAGGTAATGCAGCAGTAATTGTTTCATATTGTACTTAAAAAAACCATGATACTTTGTTTTAGAAAAATTATATTATGCTAAAGTTAGTAAATTCTTAATCTGGACATTAGGGATATAACTAATTGATGTTTCCCTTTGTTCATTCAATAGAACAATTGTAGTTATATTGATTAAAATAATTATCCAATTATTAGGTTTCCATCTATAAAATTCTGTAACTCAAGTTTGACTAGAAAGTCCATTTTTTGCGCCATGTCACATCTATAATTTCACTGCTTTAGATGTTCGGACCATTCTATTTTATATCATGTCTTACAAATTCGAGGGTGGAAAATTCTGCTGCTCTATGATTTTGTTCCCCTATTCCTTGCACTTTGCTTTAATTTATTACATTGTGTAGATTGTTAGAGAGCTTTGTTTATGCTAGTGTTTGGTAGAACAAAGACATCCATAAACTGCAAAATTGCTTCATCAACCCACACATTAAGGAACCACCTTCTACAGCTAGAGATTGGGAAGTCTACTTTTCTATCTTTTCAAATGCTTCAAAGAAATGGCAAAAGCGATAAGGGATGAAGAAAACAAATGATGCGGGCCGTGGGTCAATTATTGAATTTCAGAATTATAAAAAAAAAAAATCATTTGAGCCATAAATAAAAATTTAAATATATAAATGTATATATCGTATGGGTCTTTAATGTTTTTCCGAATTTCTAAATTTAGAACTTTTAAAAGAAAAAAAAAATTCATTTGAATTATCTCCACAAAAAATGGTCTTGGGCTTATAGAATGATATGTGGGTTTATGGAATGACATGTGCATAAAGAATATATTATATAATCATATATAAAAAAAAAAAAAAAAAAAAAAAAAAAAAAAAAAAAGTGTTCAATTAGAGTTTAAATTTACTCCTACAAAATTTGGAATTTGCTTTCTAAATGTAATTATCTTAGTTATTATTCGTATTGTGAAAATTATAATATAGATGAAATACAATTAAGAATAAATCAATGTAATTATGTAAATTCTCTTATAAATTTATTTGAATATGTACATAATTAGAGATTATATTAACCATATAAAATTTTAATTGTAATTTTAATTGTAATTTTGTGTTCCATAAAAATAATAAATACTTGACAAATGGAAGTTCAAAAATATTATTATATTAAACAATTTAAAATATTTTTATTTTTTCTATTTTTTTAATTTATATTTATAATAACATAAATTTTTTCCCGTGCATCCCGCGGGTGAATTACTAGTAATAATAATAATAATAATAATAATAATAATAATAATAATAATAATAATAATAATAATAATAATAATAATAATAATAATAATAATAATAATAATAATAATATAATAATAATAATAATAATATAATAAAATAAATAAAATTACAAATAAATAAATAAATAAATAAATAAAACATATGGGGAGCCGAACGTTCGGATCCCCTTAGTTTTGTCACTTTTCCCACATCGGTGAGAAAAGTGGCGTGGGAGCCTTGTGGCTCCTATAAAACTAAGTTTGCCCATCAGTAAGCTAACGAAACTGGCTCTTGTTATTCAATGAGTCGAAATGGCTCTACAGTAAACTTTTTTAAAAAAAATAAAAATATAGAGGTGTTTTGGAGAAATCATTCTAAAAAATACTAAGTGAAAATATTGTAAATTGCAATGTTTGTATTTTCAGTGGTTTGGAACAAATTGTTGCTTCAAACTGTTGAATAACCAAACACTTTCTTTAGCATTTTTATTTTTGGGTTATATCATATTTACCAATTGTCCAATATCTTTGGATTATATTATAATTAAAAATTTTAAATTTTTACTACATCTAAATTCCTTAAATTAGAAATTTCTTTATCCATAATAATGGTTGAACTAAATGAACACCGAGTAAAACACCTAAAGGACTGGTACCGTTGATTCATTCATTGATCTTGTATACATGTGCATTCATTAAATATATTAGAACCCTTTGCAACAAAAATACTTTATTACTATTTAAAAAAAAAAAAGTGTAGTAACAATTATAATGAATTTCTTATATTACATTGTATTCATATACTATGAGTTATATATTTAAATAAACAAATTCGACATTAAATTACTTAATGTATGAACTTCTCATATATAATCTTGCATTGGTATACTTTCAAATATTTATTTAATTGTAAACATTGGGCATTAACTCATTTGCGCAATGCGCGTGTAAAACTAATATATATATATATATATATATATATATATATATATATATATATATATATATATAATACATAGATGTATATATTTTGTAGTGTGTTATTTGGTGGTTTTTGAACTCTCCGATTGGTTTTGGTTATTCTTATTATGAGAGCTGTGGAACTCTTTGTTTCGTTTGGCCACCGATTGGTTTCGCTTCGATAATCAATATAACACTGCATAATTTAATTATTTACATATGTTAACCAATAACAAATAAACAAACCCAATAGGGTAGTTCAAGTGACAAATGAGTTTTCTTTGTGAGAGAGAATTTTGGAATAACTCGGGTTCAATTTTAACAAATGACGATTCCCTTTGGGTCAACTCTCGTAGCGATACATTTGTTTTTTATTCATTCAACCTTGACTTGAAATTGCAATTTCAACATTATTACATTGTACTCATCTCAGTCCTTGTCAGACTTCAATTTCATAATCATATCTTTTACTACTTCATACTCACTTTCTAAATTTTCAAGCAACAAACCTTCAATCTTCAGAACTCCACTTTCTAAATTTTCAAGCAGCAAACATTCAATCTTCCAAACTTGCAAAAAAATACAAATTCGAATTAGGATAGGATGAACCTATAATCTAGTGATAGCATAAAATGGATACAAAAATGCACGCATCCTTTCCCCTCTTGACCACTCTTCATTCGAAGGACAACACTTGTAATGTCTATCATTTAATCCAAGAGAGCGAAAAAGATGACGATACCGTATAGCACTATCAAGCATCACATAAGTTGAATTCCAATGAGTTAGCAGATCAAAAGCATATTACAGCACTAAGATCCATCAGGATGTTATATCACAAATATTCACAATATTATGACAGATATCATTGTCTAGAAAAAAACAAAATTGAAAATACTTGACTATAGGTTGTGAACAACACTCCATGTTAGATGTAATATGATAAGAGCATCTCGAGGCCAAAATCCAAACATCTGACAATTGGATCGATAAAACTGTTAGAACACCACTTTCACTATAATCTGAGTCATCAGTCTATACCACATTCACAGCCTCTTAATGCTTCTTCATTAAACATTCTCTTTTCAAATGCCCAAACTCCTTGCACTTGTAGCACCGAACTTTGTTGTTGTTTCTTGATTTAAATCTAGAGTGTCTCTTACTAGAATTATCATTTCCTTGTTTCCTTCCACAATCTTGACTCCCTTAGCATACAAATTGTCACCAACAAATTACAAGCCAAACAGCGCTGCAGAGATCTCATTGAATTTAATCGTGACTTTCCCGTATGTAAGAGTAATCAACTGATGTTCAAAGAAAAAAGACATTGAACATAGCCAAATCATCCCTTCAATCTTTGACATCAAGTCTAGTAAGATTTAAGATTATTAGGCTAAAGACATTAATATGTTACACCAATGGCACTCTAACTATCACAATGTAATTGAACTCCACATTGCTTAATACACAACTCTTTAATCAAACATGAAAACCATAAAGCTTCTTTAGTTGCCTCAATCACAACCATGTATTCTATTTCAGTTGTAGACAAAGCTACAACAGAATAAACTGATAACCTCCAACAAACATGACCAACACTAGTAGTAAAGACATATCCTATTATAGAACGTTTGTTATCCATATCACCAGTATAATCAGAATCCACATATCTCATTACCATAGGATCACTCTGTTTCTTTTCAAAATACAATACCATGCCTCATAGTACCCCTTAAGTACCGGATTATCCACTTAACTACTTTCCAATGCTACTTCCCAAGTTTAGACATGTACTTCTTGGCTAACAGCATGAGCCAAATCAGGTCGAGTACAAACCATCGCATGCATTAACCAGTAAACTGCACTAGCATAAGGAACATTTGTCATATCTTCGATCTTATTAACTACTTGGGGACACTGAGTAGATGAGAGCTTAAAACGATTAGCCAAAAGAGTGCTAACCAATTTAGACTTGTCCCAAACTTTTCAATGACTTTTTCAATATAATTCTGTTGAGTTAATCACAACTTCCTTGCACCTCTATTCCTGTGAAATTTCATGTCATGAATTTTTTATGTAACTACTAAGTCTTAGGAGCAATAAACATATTATCCACATACAGTAATAGAAAAATCAAAGAACCATTACCAAGGCTCTTAACATAGACAAAACAAT